TTTGTGCAAATCCTAGCACCTGGATGAATAGGTTCCCAGTACGAACTGCATAATAACATGGTAATTGGGTAACCAACAGTGATCTCCCATCAATAACCCCTAACTGCTTGTGATTATTGTGAAATATTCATATTCCTCAGCAGGTTTTTTAACTGTTTGCTGACAAACTGAATCCATTGAAGAACAAACTCAATATTTGAATGCTTCAAGCCATCTGGAGTTGTCATAAAATTTCTAGTAAGCACCCTTTCTCTTTGTAGTCCCCTCTCTATTTAAACCTCCCCCCCCAACTAAGTGAAAATTAAAAATTAGCTCCCTTTCTATTAACTCCCCTTATTTAGCCCCTGGTGGCAAAAAAAACATGCACGTTGAGTGGGTATCTTGATGGGTGTGATCATTTTAAAATTGTGTGCATAAAATACGGCCCATGTAGATTTTACTTGTGTGCTTTGAAAGTCAAGAGGATATTGATGTTGATCCTTTCGATGGAGTCCCAGAGGACAAAATTTTCTTTGAAGATGTCATAGAGTGATCAATTGATCCTGGTGATTCTGATGAAGATGGGGACATTGTAATTGATTAATTTTTATAAACTTTTGACGCTGTAAGCAAAGTGTTTTGAGAACATTTTTAGGAAATTTTTATAGCAAAAGATGCATAAGAACATTTAAAAAACTTTTACTCCTTGAATAATTTATAAGCCCCCCCCTTCTTTGATAAGGCTCCTCTATTTTTAACCCACCTACTAGGATAGGACTGATCAAAGAAGCCCCCTCCTCCTGTAGGGCTTATAGAGCTTTTACTGTTTTGAAGATTTTTGGTAAATTTTAGTGTCTGTGGGCGCTAATGCAGTAATGTACCTCTCAGGATCTATAGGTCCTACACAGGTAAACTATATACCAAACGATAGAATTTTTATGTTTCCATATGAGACCATTGTTTCCTTTCCTTTTCCTCCCAGTTTGCAATCGCCAAATTAGTTTCGCGTTAATTAATTTTGTATCATTTACTTATCTTTTCATTGAGCAAAATGCAAAGAAATGCTTAATATTGGCATTAAAACAAAGAAAGTCAAACCATTTTGATGAACCAGGGAGGCGTTGAACTTTCAGGTCTAACCAGTGACGGGATGCATCTAACAAGGAAAAGCAAATCACAGCATATAAAACATGGACTAAAATTCTACAATTTATCTTTAACTTCAGTTGTGTAACTACTTTATACGAATTGGGCAGTCACTACCAACCAAGTTGAACTTTGTGTACTTCTCATTTCACCTTTTTTCAGTCTAAAACGCCAATATCCCTCCCTCTTTAAACAGCCTCGTTTAAGCACAGACTTCTTGGAATTATTGGAGCACCACATTTTGAAATAGTTGTTGGCCTGGTCAACAAAAGATTGATTTATTTGGTGAAATGTCAGTTGTTACAATTCAACTTGGACAGTGTGGAAATCAAATTGGGTTCGATTTGTTCAAATTGATTGCATTTGATGCTTCTTTAACATCTAGGAAGTCAGGTCTTTTGGTGACTAGTAACGATGACTACCAAGACGAAGTCGTCGAACGGTTTTTTGAAGAGTCGGATAATAAAAACCAGAAGGCAGATTTGACCGCTAGGGCAGTCCTTGTCGACACTGAACCGAAAGTTATAAATCAGTGTATATTAGGATCTGAGAAATATGGTATGATATTTTCTTTTCCATTCTTTAAACCGTATCGAAATTCGGCTAGCTAAGAAAAAGGTCTCAATGTCTACCGCTACTCTGACTTGAGTAGAAGAATGATGCACCCAACAGGCACCGCGAAGCCCTTGGGCTAGCACGGACTATAGCCCCCTCCCAACTTTTTGAAACAATTTGTCTGAGGTAAATGGTGGATCTGAAGCATAATTTCTGTGTGATCCCTTTACCATTGTAAATTAAGTTTGGGGTCGCCAAGAACAAGCAAAAAAGACCAGACATGAACAATCATACTGTGACCATTGGAATATCAGTAAATATATCAAATTGGCTTTTTTCGTTGTCAGGTTTTCCAGCAGTCAGGCTCTATTGCACTCTGCCAGCAGCCTATGTTGATCACCTCAGCATACAGCCAAGTATCAAAGTCCTTGCAGTTTCATGTCTTCGCGCAAAATCATATGTATTTTGCAACATCACTCTTCTGTGAGCCAATGCTTACAGCAACATGATTTATAACATGTTGTTTTAAACCTAGGGTTATATGGCATGGTTGACATTATGATTAGCACAGAATAATTTTACAGATATTAGATCTACTAGAAACCAATGAAGTTTTGCATGTTGTATGTCGGAAATGAGCAAAATATGAAGAGTTATGCTTGAAACGTTGTACAAAATTCATTTCTTGTACAAAGTCGTTATTTTATTTAATCAAATTTACTAGAAGCCAAGTTAGCAGAGTATGGCCATTTTTGACAACATTTGTGGTGTGCCACATTGCATGAGCAGGTGCACGAAAATGGCCCAGAATGCGAAGTGTGCCAGAACAATATCAAATTTTCCAGATTTAAATTTAATACATCTAGCTTTCATGTGTGGCTCTCATAATAACATGAATGCATATTGAGTGGGTCAACTTTGCATACTGTCCAGAAACAATAAATCAAATTCACTAAATGTTTCATGACGGTTTGGTATTGATGGTTTTAACATATCATAATTTTTCTAGATTTGATTGAAATATTGATCATCTTTTAGAGTTTTCCTCTTTTGTTGCATTTTGTGCTAGGTGGATGGAGTTTCTCAAGAAACAATACATTCCACAAAAAACAGGGGTCAGGAAACAACTGGGCGCAAGGATATGAAAGATATGGAAAGGAGGTGGCTCATGAAATCATCGATTTGACAAGAAAAGAAGTTGAAAAGTGTGATCTACTTGGTGGTTTTCTAGTGATCATGAGCTTGGCAGGAGGAACAGGTTCAGGATTGGGCACATATTTTACACATTGTTTAAAAGATGAATTTGAAGATTCCTGTGTTGTTAATAACGTCATATGGCCTTACTCTTCAGGGGAAGTTATTTTGCAAAATTACAACACTGTTCTCTCACTTGCACATCTGTATGAAAGCTCAGATGCCATAATTGTCATGCAAAATGACAACTTGAATAAAATCTGTACAAAACTTATGAATTTGAAAAATGTTTCTTTTGATGACATTAACAAAGTAATTAGTCACAAAATTGCAAGTGCTTTACAGCCAGCATTTTCTGGAACCAGCTTACGTAGATCAAATATTTTACAAGACCTAATAAGTGGATTATGCCCCTTTCCAGGGTGTAAACTTTTATCATTAAAGAACATACCACAAATTAGTGAAAAGTCAATTGAATACACAACATTTGTTTGGCCAGCCATGCTGAAACACTTAAGGCAAATGCTAGTTGCAGATGCAGCAATGGAAGAAGGTATGTTTTTAAGAATTTATTTTAGTTTATGTTTCTCAAGCATTTTGAATTTGTTTGCCCTAATTCTAACCTAATGCTATTAGTCATTCAGCTTAATTGTGAGGCAGCTCTGTTAATCACATTGTTAATCTCAGGCAATTTTAAACATCTGTAGAACATTTTGATAACTGTATCTAGGGGAATGGTTTAGAGATTGCTTCTTTAGATACAATTTTGCAATCAAAATATATCAAACTGGTAAATTATCTTTTTTTAAAACTGTCATGCCATATTCAGAATTTACATCTTAAATTGCAGGAATTGATTGGAATGTAAGAGTTCCATCATTTACAAAGGTAAAACAGAAAATTGATAGGCTTCTTTTCAATCAATCTTTGGCAAATGCATTGATTCTAAGAGGAAAAGATTGCAGTGATGCAAGAGTAGAAGATTTTCAACACAAGAGTTTGTGAGTTCAATGCAGGAATACCTGTATATTTATTATTATGTTTTCCCTACTTTAATCATTTCACCAGTAAACGCTAGAAACTGTGGTGCAAGAGATTGTCAATGGAAAATATCTAAGTTTATATCCTCAAAGCACAAGATCTATTGTTCTACTTGATTATTTCTACTCTTTTTATTGTACTTTCTAATCTTGGCTGGTTGAGACCCATGCCACATTTGTGTACTTTATTGCACTTAAATTCAAGTTGATAAAGCTACTATATTTTTGTTTTTTTTCTTGCCTCTTTTTGGTTAAATAGATCTATTTTTAAGAAATGAAAATCAGAAAATGTGTATATATACTATGTATTTGTTCATTTAGATATGCTTCCTGGATACCAAAGGATGAGGCATCATCAGTCTGGTATCAAGAGAAAGCATTCAGCAAGTATGAAAAGTCTGCTACCTTAATCAGCAACAGCCAGGGGTTTGTAAAGCCAATTAATTCAGTAATACAGAAGGCATGGGATATGTTTGCTTCACACGCATATGTACACCAATATGAAAAATATGGTATAAACGATGATAATTTTATTGATAGTTTTGGTTGCCTTGAGCAAATTGTATCAGACTATCAAAATCTTTGATTTTTATGTCTATTTTTTTATTTATTTCATTGCTTGTTTAAAAATATTTATTTAATTAAATTGTCTGTTGTTCAAGGGGTCCTCCAATTTGAAGTCCTTATATGGGCCAAGCAAGGCTTAAATGGCTATTATTGTTCAACATTATTTTTCAAAAATTACTTGGCATTATATCATACTTTTAGTTAATAGGACATGGCAGTTCTAAATTGTTTCGAGATATAATACATTACCCTTTGGTAAGAAAAGGCAATGCAAATCACGAATATTTCAGAAACTAAATAATATTATCCCCTCCTCTTTTATCGCTCAGTTCTATTTTCTCCACTGTATCAATAATACCATTATCTGATTAGACGCATTTGAAAAACATTAAATTCTGTTTGATAGTTTGTTGATAGTTTGTTGCTTGTGGCCTAAACAAACATTGCAAATATTTACTAGGCTAATGAACCAAATATAGATGCAGTTGCAGAAAGAGACTTGCTTTCGTATTTTGCTATTGCAAAATCGCCAGTATTTGTATCCCACATGCATCTGCTTGCTGCTGTCATTCCCTGTCCACGCACCTCAGCAAGGTGGACATAACATAGTAGCTTATATTGTGGTAAATTTAACTTTCTGATTTTGTTCTGAATTTCATTGCTAAGATCTTTTGATAACTCCTTGCACTTCATCTCGTCGTATTCAACATTTTGCAGTCGATTTTTCAATATTTCGTTGGCTATCTCAGCGATTTGATCGGATGGAAATTCTTGTTGGGGCTTTTCATTGTATGTTGTCTTTGTATTTTTAGATTCGATATTTTGCTGAAAGTGCACTGGTTTCTTTAAAGATACCAGCAATTCACTTTTTAAGCAAGATGTTGCATTGTCGTCTAAGTTGTCTTTCGGTACAATTTCCCAATGTGGACTTCGTTTTAGATATATGAGCTTTGCATTGGAGTTTTCCTGCTTTTCATGATTCTGTTTGTAATTACCGTGAAGGGTATTAGAGAATTCGTTTGGTTCCATTGCATGTGATGGAATGGTCTCAAATCGTGTATATAAATTGAGATTGTCTCTACAAAGAGAAAAAAGAGAAAATTCTTACAAAGATATTATATGTATTTTGACCAAATTAATTAGGACTTCCCTGTCTATGTGGAAAGCCATGCTGTTGCACGAGTACCAACACAGTCTTATTTTTTTCTGTACATCCATAAAAGAACAGAATCTGAAATGGTTTAAAGTGAATCCCGTTGTTTATAACGATTAGCGAGAAAGTTAGAACGTCGTTTTCTGTACTAGTTATACCTGATAAATACTGTTGTTGTTATTAATAATAGCGACCCAAAGGCGACAAGTACCAATTCAGTACGTCAAATTGAGCCTGTCTTGGCGTCCAGCATGTAGGATTATATGGTTATGTACATAAGTTTCTTATATGATAGTGATACACTGAGAAATCCTGATCGTTCTTCTCGATATGGCAACATCGCGTTATTCCTACACCTGGCAATACATTGAGCTGGTGGCTCTCCCCACTCTGGGTGAAAGTTTGGTCTTGCCAGGGAACCACAGACACTTGGGTCTATCCTCGCACCTTAGAAATTATTTCTCAAATATTTGAGAAGACATTTTGTAGCAAAAAAGATTATGTAAAATTTTTCAGGCTCTGCTCAATAAGTCAAATCTTCCAGTTTCATTTGAAGTGAAGTTCGCAATATCATCTTTGTGTCATAATCAAATTTCGATTTCAAATCGAAGCAGTGTCAGCTTTTGCTAAACATTATCTTTAATTTTTGGAATGATCTGAAAAAAGTTGGATTTTCAGTCTTTGTAATATGAGGCGTGCGATCGCACGCGCACGCCTCCACACACGCGCAAATTGTCCAAGGCGTGCTAATCATCGCACGCGCAAAACAAAGAATTTGTCACAAAAATTTTTTACATTTGCTTATGTTTCGAAGATTTTCAAAGCAGCGGTAACTCAAAGTCGCCAAAGTCGTTCTGTCGTTGTCCAAGGTGTTGTTAAAGTATTCCCATACGGGATTTAACAACAGCGTCAAAAAGGACGCTTAAAGGCCGGTTTACATGATCATAATTCAGGTCACATTTGTATCACATATTTTATATGATCACAGAATAATACAACAAGATCGCTTAACAGTTCACCTGGTGCTTACTGTCAAAACCCGGTAATTTAAATTTTCGATTCAAGAGATGTTTTCACTGTTCGATTGATTTTTCTGTTCTTCGGTAATCATGGCGAAAGGAAACAAAGTCGAGCTGGCAACATTTATTGGTTGGGGAGAGAACGAAATTATCGGTTTCAAGTCGGAAAAAGATGATGCTACTTCGATGATGCTGATGGAGTGTTTAGTACGATGAAGTGGTTTGATCAAAAGCAATGGAACGACAACAATGATAACGGGGTCCCAGAGATTACTGCTTTTGCAGCTATTTTCGAACCCCCCCTCTGCGAGACGAAGTTTGAGGTTTCGAAAGCTCTCAAGGAATGGAAGTCATTCAAAAAATACGTACAATATAATGCTTGTGGGATTGAAGCAAGAAAGCTGTGGAAAAATACGCTTTCTTACAGGGCTGACGAGTACCCCAACCTGTGCATTCTGGCAAATATAATGGTTGCAATATCTGTCTCCAATTCATCGGTAGAGAGAGCATTCAGTATTTTCAGCATATTATTGTCAGCTAGAAGATTGCGAATGTCACACAAGGTTATGGAGATGAGACTTCGCAGCACAGTCAATGACATTAAATGGACTGACGAAGAAAGGGAGAATATTTTGAAAAGGGCAACGAAGATCTATCTTTCGAAAAGCAGAAAGCGAAAGCATAATTACAACAGTTTATCGAAGAAACCAAAGCTAGATAAGGAGGAGGAAGCTGAAGAAAGCTCTGATGAAGAAGAAAGTGACGGTGACTGTACTTACTTTTAAATTTTTTAAACTTGTTTTTGTGCTCAAAGAAAGTGTGTTCATTTCGACGTTTGTGTTATTTCTCTACCCATTCCTTCTCATTTGATTGTTAGATATTTTTTATGAATATCCGCTAAGATATCCGCTATGTTAACGATGCTACTGAAGTCAGTGACGCTGCATGGCAATGTCTCGACGGATGGTAGGGTCTACGGGTAATAGAATTTTTTTCAAACCAGATTTCTTTGTGACTAATTAAATTTATCATCTTTAAAAAAGAACAAGAATAGTTCCTCCATCAATTTCTTTTGTTTCCGTTCAGTTTATAACACAAAAGGTCTCCTTGAAAGCAGCACCCAGTTCTTGACAACAAGGAAGAGAAACAACCAATAAAAAGCGGTTCGCATCGCACGCCATCGCACGCGCAAAGTAATCAAGGCGTGCGAAATGCCGCACGCGGCCTATTTTCATATTACAAAGACTGGATTTTTGGATTACAACCTGTAACAAGATTCTACTTTTAGTTGAAATACAATAAAACATCTTTCATAGACCTGGTGCCTACCGTTTTAAGTCAACAACATCTGGAATAAGCTACAATTACTGTTACTAGCAAACGCCTGGTGTTTAATAACAGATCTAAGCCTCCACCTCCACTGTACCCTGTACTCAGAATAGGTCCCATCGTTATTAGAAAAGCATCTTTGTTTGTCAGGTGAACAAAATTTCGTATCAAAAGCGTTTGAGAAAGGGGCTCGACGAATTGAATAGCATTTTTGCTGCAATTGAGTATTTCTTAGCTATTCCTGGTACGACTGGCTGATACCCGTAAACATGCTCTTCTTTCTACAAAGGTAATAGTCAGGAACCAAATAAAACGACGACGAGAATCCAATGTTGTTCTAATATGATTGAAACATTAATTAAATTTAATGTTTGTTAGTTTGGATTGTTTTCCTGACTGACTATTACCTCCATATTATTACTCATTGCAAGATTCATAGAATCCGGCGGACAGCCTATCCTGCGTTTCTTCCTTCTTGTACACTTTTCTACAAAATTAATTGCTCCTCTGGCAGTAAACAATTTACACATTGAAGAAATTAACCAACACAAATGACACAGTATTCCAGTATTTTATTTTTGTTTATGCTTTTAAAAATCTGAATTCTGGCAGAAAATTCGTAAAGGAAGATTTTTGTTTCCTTTAGCGGTAAGAATTTGTTTTCCACAGCCTTTGCGCCAGAAAGTTATGTCATAATGAAGCATTTATAGATATCTTTCAGTATTTTAAAGTGTGTCCAACAGGGTTAGAAAATCGTAAAAGAGGAAAGGTTAAAAGAATACCTTGATTCACTATTCGATTATACTGGAGTAGTTTCGCTGCATCATCAACTCGATAACCTGTGATAAAAATTGGTTTTATGGATCGCTGCCAAGGAAATTAAGCATATTAACTTGCTCATTTTTGCATCAGGCCATTTTATTTCATATTTCTGTTATAGACTTCATAAAAGGTTTTGTCATATTTTAAAGCTTTATAAACACATTCAGCATCATTGCACGGCTTCGGCAAACCTGGCTTTAGGCCTTCATTATAAAACAAAAGTAAACAAAAATACTACGCAAGAATATACTGTTAAATTCTAGAAATTTTACAACAACCTTTCAATAATTTCATAAAATTCAACGTAATTCAACGAGAAGATAATACCTGTTTAAGCATATAACTCATTGAAACCATCGAATGCTTTATTTGCACCGTAAACACAGAAAAATCACTTTCTTAGATAGCAGGTGTATTCCCCTTTCCCGGTATTTTGCTTTGTTGATTTCTTTTGTAAAAGTTTTGCACAACAAAAAAAGTTATTTGCATTTGAAGGTCAAAGTTTTCACAAGCGGGTTTCATTTTGTAAGGATTTCTTGTCCACCTAACAATATTGGCATATTTCGCTTGTTTTTGAGGCAGATAAATATCGTTGAACATATTTTCAGACATAATCATAATCATAATTGAACGCAAAAGCCGGTCGTGTAGAATACCAGGGTAAGAGTTGTATGCTTAAGTTGAAATTTCAGCCTCATTAGAAACCTCATATATTCAACCTAGTTGTAATTGGCGATGACTTCAATTGTAATTACAGTTTATGTAAGTTCTATTTAAAGCTTGAAAAACTTCTGTGAAAGTGTTTTCTGTGAAAGAACCGTTCCCTCATTTCCTGATTCATTTGACCTTGTTACAATGTAACCAGGTAGGTATGTTTGAATGTATTTGATAAAAGCATCAAAAAACGAGAAGGTTTGCCCACAGATGAGATATTTTTCAACAGCTCTGATTCCTAGATAGGTCTTTTGTTCAATATTGTTTATTCTTTGTCAAATTCTAGCAGTAATATTTTCATTTGTAATATGACACTTTATCACGATAACTCGTCTAATTTTCCCAAACCAGGTACAACTTCCACTTAAACTGGACATCTTTTTTTCTAAAACTGTTTTCGACATTTGCATTTTTTTGTCTTTCCACCATGTTTCACCCATAAATTATATCTTCTTTAACTATTATCACCTTCTATAGGGCCTATTTATATACCAAAAAAGATTATCCCCTCTTCCTGGCCAAGGGACGAGCGGTGGGATTCCATCTTCCTTTACAAAGCTTTGTAATTTCCACCTTGTGTTTATATGAGGCAAAGATTAATCTGAAACAAGGGAAATCCATTTTCAACATTCCTTTTGTGGTGCGGTTCTCCCGTATGAACACTGAACTGGCTCAAAGATGAGATGAAATTCTCGTTTATTCGCATGCTTTTACATTCCATAATGCAAAGACCGCGTGTTTCGCCGTCCGAAGGAAGAACTGAGCGGTGGGATAAACACGAAGCAATAAGCAGGAAGCTAGGAAACAATTTTTATCTTCTTGTACCTTCTTAAATCAACTTTCTTATAGGAAGCGATTTCTAATGATGTGATTATAAAGTCCTTAATGTACCGAAATTGTCCACGTTTGACAAAGT